AATGGTTGGTCATTAAACGAGGGTCCAACTAACTACAAAAGTTGGGTCAAAGGTGAATTGTACAACATTACAAAGAATTATGATATTTATTACCAACCAAATTTTGTTATAAATAAAAAAACTACAATTCCATGGTAAGTTAACTAACAAATTAATCATAATAATATCTAATTAATATTATTACCATTTCTAATATTAATCAATATCTACCACTATTTAATTCCATATTAGGTGTAGTGAACGTTTTGATATTTTTGAGTTTAGTAAAGCGGCATGTTTATTACAAATATATTTAAGCGGATCAGGATTATATGTTCTTCCTGACACATATTTGATTTTTTATCAATATAATAAAGCTTCATATTTATTACAACAAGACGAAAAAACATTCGAGAAAATGATAAAAAACAGAATGTATTTTAATTTTTATCGTGAAACTTGCATTAATTATGCACGTGCAATAGATTCTTTAGGTCAATGGAATTCACTTAAAGCGAAAAATATTAGAAAACATTGTAAAAGAATCGTGATGAATTGGGGGAAAGGTTTAATAGAGAAAATTTAATTAATTAATTAATTAATTCATGTAATAAAATAAACTTTTTTTTTTAGATAAATATTTTTGATACTGATGTTTTATTTTGTTTATTTATAATAATGATAATGAGAATGATAACGATAATAGTGCTAGACAACCACACAAAGCAAGTGATAAAATAAGACAGGCTCTCGCGTCGCCGTATCCTTTTCTTCCTTCCTTCAGCGGTGCCTGCTATCGATGAAATCTACATTATTGTTAATTTTAATAGTAATCGTCATTACTTTTTTATTTTTATTATCGCTATTATTTATACTAACACATAAAGCTATGGTTAAATAAACGAGGAAATGGAAAAAAAAGTATATAAATGAAGACTTGAAAACTAGAGAGAGAGATCATAACAGTAATGATGATTGTTAATCGAAAAAAAACAAGAGAACATACATATATCATGTTATTAAACTTTATAAAAAAAACAAACGTTTCATCATATCATTTGGAGCCCTTCCTTTAGTATGGTTGTTTTTTTTAATGATGAATTAAATAATGTAATAAAAAACTATTTTACTTTATGAATCATTTCATTAAATCGGGTTTTAATTATGTCATTTAATGAATTGTTGTCACCAGAATGAAGGATTTTGTATATAAATTCTGCACGAAATCTAAAAATGAACATGAATTTTATGATGAAAAATTTGTTATGAGTAATGCAATTTATACTCTGACAAATTCTACGAGTCTACAATCACAAATTCTTTTCACTACTTGGGACATCTGGAACTAGCATAATTGATGATTTTAACAATGTCATATAAAATCATCATTGTCACAATATATATTATAGAATGGATATCTTATCATGATTTTAAAATTAACTAAAGGTGGATTTACACTGTTATATGGACAAGAGGAAGTACTAATGATTACAATGGAAATAAGAAAGAAATTGGTTGTTCTGGAACACAATGATGCGGATGT